TCGTTCAGCACACGGTTCAGGTCCACAGTGGGTGCAGCATCCACCTCCACGTTGAGGCGCTCGCCAATCTGGCAGCGCAGAGTGTTGACTTCCTGATGGAGCAAGAGGAAAAAGTAAACTCAAAGGAAGAAAACCATATTGATGGAGTCAAATGCAGTAGGAAGGATATTGCTTTGGAATATTGCTAGGAAATGTGTCCAGTTGATGGGAAACTCTTAGGAGTTACCTCTAGAGATTCTGATCATTACGTTTCTTTCACTCAGTTGTATGTGCTTACTCCTCATTTATTGGTGTGGTTCATTTCCAAAGACTAGTTGCCAAATCTCGTCATAGTCTGTCAGCTCACTGAGAACTATGGCCCAGTCAAGATGACATACAACCTTAACCATCACTGGTTAGCATTACTTTTCCCATGCAAGGGCCTTTACCACTTCTTTCTTATATATCTATGGCTCATTGATATGCCTGGCATGTCAACTGGATTAATATCATTGCTATGTAAATTTTAATAGCACAGTCTTGATTTCTCTCCTTCATGTCTTCTGAGTTAATATAATATGAACTTGGCCTCTCTTCTTCAAAAGATCTAATAGTTGAGACATGCATCTGATTGCCTAGTATCACATTTTGCCGTAAGACCTGACTCAATAATTGTTTCACTTCCTTCTCTTTTTCCCATTCCCCCATCCATCATTTCATTATTCTTTCATCCATACATCTATTCAATAACCTATGTTCTAGTTATCTAGGTAATACACAGGATAAAGAAGTTTGCTATCTACTTCTGGGTTTGATCATTTGGCACTATTTAGAAGATAATAAATGTATCAAGTTGTAGGAAGTAGTTTAAAGCTCTTTGTTGGGAATTTTTCCTAGACATTTGACCCCAGTTGGAATTAGGCTACACCCCTTTACACAAAAGAAGTAAGTGCTTCATGCCATGAAAATCCTCTAAGTATTTTTGGAGCAGCCAGGAAATTGTTGTCTTGCTTTTAAAGTGATTCACAACAAAGCCTATCTTGCCCTAACTGGGGGAGTTATGGATCTATTATTGTGGGATGGTGGAAGCTGGGTGCTCTCACCTGTTCATGGTTCTGCTTCAGGCACAGCAGCTCATCCTTCAGAGACTCCACCTGGGCCTCCAGGTCGGACTTGCACAGGGTCAGCTCGTCCAGGATCCTGCGGAGGCTGTTGATGTCGGCCTCCACCAGCTGCCTCAGGGACAGCTCCGTCTCATACCTGTGCACACAGACAAAGACCAGAGGCAGTCAGAAAGGAAGGGTGTGTTTCTTCACCTTTGCTTAGTTGATCTGGTAAAATTAATTTTCTTTGCAAATATTTTGTATTGTTAAAAATGTTGTTGTTGTTGTTGTTAAGTGTCTGAGTCATAGATGACTCATAACGACCCTATGAATACAAGACCTAAATACTTGTATAGCTTTCTTCATTTCTCCATGTTCATAGAGTTTCCAGAGGCAAGCTATTTCAGAAGTGGATGCCACTCCTGCTTCCAAGCTTGTTTTAATCAGGAAGTTCCATGAAACGCTGTCCACTATGGGTAACCTTTATCACATTTGACACATCAGTGTCACAGTGTTTAAAGAAAGGGGGAGAAAAAACCCTACATCAATGTTGACTGAGACCTATTTCTTCCCTGAGACTGACAGAGAAGGTTCTAGTAAGGCATCTGTGATTAGTTTTAGTCCAGCAATATTTGTCTCTCCCGTTCACAGATTGCTTTCAACTAAGGTAAATTATCTTTGCCTTCATAACAAGCCACGAACCTCATAAGCCTGTTAAAAATTGTGGGTTTTGTCTCTGAGTCTCAATTTTCTTATCTGTACAATAGGAACAAAACTACTATTTCATAGGGTTGACCTGGGGGTAAGTGATTAAAATGGAATCAGATTATAAATGTCAAGGTCTCACTAAGAAAAAAATTTTTAAAAAATTGTGGAAGACTATTAGGGTTATAATGGTTAAATCTAGAAATATTAATTGAATCTCTGAAAGAAATGGATATTATCTCCTGGTTTTTTGTTTGGTTTTGCTAAATCACTTCTTTCTGATAGGTGATGGTGACTAGCCTTTACTAAGAGACTCATGTGAAAATTAGTTTTAAACTTGGTCTGAGTTGAAGAAAAGAGAAGGAATGGATATTTCTTGTCTTTCAAATAAAACTTTCAAAAGTATATGAACACTGATCAGACTTTAAAAGACATCTAGCCACAGGGTAATGATGGGCATGGTCCAATGGTGATTAGTTTTATAAAATACAAAGCATGGGAATGATTGCATGAAATACAATGTGAATAAAGAATACTGTGAAACACAAGTTATTCAAACTTGGTAAGCAAACCAATATAAAAGTTAAAATAACAATGAAACCAAATATCACACTGGAGGGAGGGAGAAGACACCTAACCAAAGTAAAAACTCCTCCCAATATCACCCTAGATATATTCTACTTGCACATTCCCAGGAACAGAGAGTTCATCACTTTACAAGTCATCCTGTCCCATTACTAAATTACTTTAAAAAAATAAATAAAATCTTACTTAGTTCTGAAGTCATCTGTGGCCAGCTTGGCGTTGTCAATCTGCACCACCAGCCTGGCGTTCTCAGCCTTGTTGCCCAGGATCTGGAAGACCCAAAACATTCTAGCATAAGCAAGGACTAATCCTTGCTACCAATCCTTACTAACTCTCTTCAGTGGAATGAACATGCTGAAAAATCACAATATCTTATGTACATGGTGATCAAATGCTGTTGTTTATGTACAACAGGATCTAAATTATATCTTGGAAATTGTATTCTATGTTCCATAGCAAATATTAATTGTGAAATTACTTATACTAAGAATGAATGCTTATCCCCTTAAAATTTAAAAAAATCTTTTTCTCAACTACAATTCTTCCAATTAGTTCTGAGTTCTTCAGATTTTCAATGTTGGGATAAAAGGAAGACTAATCAATAGTGGAGCTCTGGTAGCCTCGTGGCAAGAAGCTGTGCTGCAATTCTGAAAGCACATCAGCTGCTTTGAAGGAGAAAGATGGGCAGTCTCCTCCCCTGTGACTAACTGCCTCTGAAAACACACCAGAGGGTCAGCTGTGAGTCTGTTCCAACTCTACAGTACACAACAGCAATTAATTAATAGAACTAATCAATTCCTAATCAGAACAGTTATGAATTTTTATCTCTTACTTCCTGCAGGAACTGAACATACTAGGTAGCCAAGTCTCACAGAAAGTATCCAACATTCTGTTTGCTTAGAACTGAGAAGGATCCTGAAATATTAAAACTTTGAAAGTCTAGGCAAACCAGAACAACTGATTTTTCTCCCATAGTAACACCTACTCCCCAGCCCTGTGACCTCTCTTCACACCCTTCACACATTGCTTTTGTTCATGGTTTTGCACAAAGCTTTCCCCCCCCCCCCCCCCCCCCAGCAAAGCCCTGGACTGCCCTTACCCACCTAACAAGACTCCTTACATCACCCCCATTCCCCACCTCCTTCACATGCTACCATAGTACACATTCCTCTTAACATTCACTATGCTCACCTGTTCCCCCATCTGTGTCCTCTATTAGATTATTAGATCCTTAAGGAAAGAGACAGCCTTACTTGGTGCTTTATTCCCTGCCCCACAACTGATTCTAATTCTTGCTCAATGAGCAAATGATACTCAGATCACATGACCCCTTTCTGTCCTTCACCTTGCCAGAACTGCACGACAGTGGAGAGTCAACTCCTTCTGAGAATCAAGAACCTGTGTATTGTACATAAACTCCTGGTCACCCCGCAGAGCCCATACGGCCTCCCCTGGCCGCCTCCCCTAACTTAGCCATGTACTCAGCACCACCTCCCTGTGTGTATCCACTTCTACTTCTGCATTTCTTTCCTTGTTTTGTAACTTGCCTCATGTCTGCTGTTGTGGACAGTATGTGTGTCTGTGTAGATTAATAAAGCTTCTAGAATCAAAGCTCTCTAGCTTTACCATAGACATTGCCTTTTGTAATAACGTTGAGAGGTTTTTGAAAATTGAGCTTTATCCAGGAAATTCCTACATTGGAAAAACAAGTCCATTGTCTATTGCTTTATTTCTATGATACTCTACAAATAAGAACATGACATTATAATCGAATCAAAGGTTCAGATAATCTGATTTTGTGAAAGAAGTCCTGAGTTTCTATGATTAATTTGTGTCTAACCCCTTCCCCTAATCTCAGTCGGCAGCCTTCCTTTGTGATGGCTCCAAAGTGGATTTGCAAAGACTGCCTGGCATCTCCTGCTTAAATCAGGAGGGTGGTATTTTTACCATCCTCAGTGAGCCGTGAGCAGCCCTAGAGCTCATTCAGAAGTTGCTCTATTACAAAATGAATGAATTTGCATTAAATTAGCAGTGCGGTGCCCACCGCCCTCACCTTCTGCTGGAGCTCCTCGATGGTCCGGAAGTAGGACTGGTAGTCCGGGCACACGTAGGGCACCTGCTGCTGGCAGTACTCACGGATGCGACACTCCAGCTCCGCATTCTCCCGCTCCAGATCCCGCACCTTCTCCAGGTAGCTGGCCAGGCGGTCATTCAGGAACTGCATGGTCTCCTTCTCGCTGCTGTTGAAGGAGCCCTCGCAGAGCCAGCCGCAGCTGCCCACATTGGCGGGGATGTTGCAGGCCCCGGGAAGGGTGCAGCTGTGGCAGCTGGGGGGCACGCAGGGCCGGGAGGAGCAGCTGGTGCGGCAGCTCATGTTAGGCAGGCAGCAGGAGTAAGGCATGGCGCTGGGAGGAAGTGGAGTCCCGGAGGTTGGTCTCAGAAGCTGATTCCTTTACTCTGGTGTGTGCTCTGGTCCTCTGCAGGCCTTTATATTCTATCAACAGTGGGTGTGGCAACCACATACACCATTGCCCCTTTTACCCTCTTCAGGAATTTTTTCACCTGTTATTTAGACAGCTTACAAGAGTCTTTTACCTCATAAAATGCCTTCCTCTGGCTTCCTGCTAAGTCAGGACTCCTCATCAATTATGCTGCTTGGCTAAATAAGAGCTTCATGGTTTGGCTTTCAAGTGGCCAACCCATTACCATGCCAACACAAGACGTCAAGTCAAGGAGTGACAGTTGTAACCTGCCTTCCAGAGCTGGGGAACCTTCCATGCTTCTTTCTACCAAACAGAAAAAAGTCTACGACTTATCTGGCTCACACGCAGACATATATCAGTGAGAAAAAATGGCCCAAGAAAGCCCATACTGGAGGAACCCCAAATATTTGACAGAGATTTTTATAAAATGGGATCAGAAAGGGCTTACAAGTTCATCCAGTGAGTTCAGTGTGCCCCTTCTATTCCATTCAGCCTACATGGGGGTGACTCTACTTCTACTGTTAAACTTCCGGAAACCTTCCACGGCTCTCTTTCTGTTCACAAAACATAAAGAAAACTAGACTTTTTGGCATACTGAGCATACTACATCTATTAGCCCTGATCCAAACCTTGATCATTTTAGTTGCTTTCTACACATCTGAAAGTTGGAATAATGAGTAAGGCTAGCAGAAGAAGACCCTATGGCTTCGAGTTGTGGTGTTGGAGAAGAGTACTGGATATCCCGTGGACTGCCGAAAGAACAAGCAAGTCTGTCTTGGAGGGAGTGAACCAGGGTACTCCTTAGAAGCAAGAACAGTGTAACTTTGTCTCACATACTTTGGGCATGTTGTTAAGAGGGGCCAGTCCTTGGAAAAAAGACATTATGCTGGGAAAGGCGGAGGGTCAGAGAAAGAGCAGACGACCTTTTCAACAAGATAGATTGACACAATGATTGTACAATGGGCTCGTGCATATCCGAGATGGTGAGGACGATACAGGGTCGGACAAGGTTCAGATCTGTTGTTCACGGGATCACTGTGAGTCCCAGTCTGCTCAACAACACGTAATAACAACACTCTGCATGAAGCCCTGCCCTGTGTGTTTGCACACAGTACGATTCTGGTGCAACAATGGCTCCTGTTTACTGTGTGTCAGATGCTTTGCTAAGCTCTCGTGTACATTACTTACACAGTCCTCACAACAATATATGAGGGTTCAAAAACAAGAACCTCAAGCCTCTGAGACATTTGCAAGGTCACCGAGCTCTGGAACGGCACAGCCAAGATTCGAATCCAAGTGGAAATCCAATGGCCACGCTCTCTCCATCACACTACACTTTCTCTCTCTTTCTGTCTTCTAGTCACCAGGCACCTCCACCAGATGCTCCATTCAAGGAAGATGGGCACTCTTCTCCTGTGTGATTTAAAAGCCTCAGAAAATCCGCTGAAAGGTCGGCTAGGAGTTTATTCCAACTTGACAGTACACAACAACTACCGAGAAGCGATAAGGCAGAAACGGACTCCATGGAGCTCAAACAATGTAAGAAAATAGCTCTCCCATAATTAGGATAAGCCAAGAAACAAGAAGTGTGCCATCTCTATCAAAGAACCAAAGATAATTTCTACTTGGGGTGGGGAGGAATTTACTAAGAAAATATAACACCCACTACAAGTCTGAGAAAAGGAAACTCTCAGTTGATCTGGTGCAGAAACTCCTGATGCTATTTCTCCAAAAGCCATGAGCCTGCAAAGATACCATCACACACTATATGGCACTTAGGACTGTTGCAGCATTTGGGCAAATGTTCTGCCTTCACACCTCTTCCAGGTGTAGCTGTGAACTGAGATAATTTCTTTTTAATCTATACCCTTTTCAAGGTCATTCTTTTGGAGGCTGCGTGCTAATTCCTTCAATACAACCGTGGCCAGTGTCCTCCCTTCCCGAAACTTGCCTTCACAGCTCATGAGCCAGACTTTCGATTACCCTCTTGAAGACAAATCTTCATCATCTGAGGGTGTGTTTATTTTTGGAAGCAGCCAAATGTCATTTGGAACCAAGCTGAATGAGTAGGGTAAATAACCAAGCTGGATAACACCTTTGATGTTTGTGACTGTAACAGAATTGCTCATGCTTTCTAAGGTGATTCTAAAAGCCATTTCCAAGGAGGAGCTTCAAATATGCTTTGATACACACAGGACAGATGCACTAGGATAAGTATGTGGCCAGTACATCAAAAGCACTAACATCCTCACTCATGTTCTCAATCCTTACTTCTCTGCAAGTTCCCCTGAATTTCTGCCCTAAAACAGTGTGATGTGAAATGGATGTGATGGTTTAAAATCTATACCAAACAGATTTAAGTGCTATTAGATGAGATCAAATAGCATAAAGCAAATAGTTGGACTGATAGCTTTTATGCTACTGTTGTTTTTGTTGTTATTGTTGATCGCCTTTGAGTCGAGCACAACTCATAGCGACCCTATGAACAAAAGGCCTGAAGCCCCTCTACAGCTATCGATATTTATCAAAGTTCATAGAGTTCCCAGAGGCAAGTTGTTTAGGAAGTGGATGCCACTCCTGCTTCGAAAACCTGTCATAGTATGTTACTGTTATGTGTCGTTGAGTCGCCTGTGATGTATAGCGACCCTATATACAGCAGCCCTGAACACTTCCCTGTCCTGAGCCAGTCTCACTAATTGCTCTGGTCACTTTATCAATCCATCTCATCCTGGGTCTTCCTCTCCTACTCTGTCCAGCCACCCTTCCGAGCATGGTGTTTTTGGAGAAGACTCCAAGGACTGATCTCTCCCGGCCATGTACCCAAAGTAAGTGAGGCGGAGCTTCAAAATCCTAACCTTGAAGGAGAGACTTGGTTTCACCCTCTCCAAGACAGATCTATTTGGTTTTTTTACAGTTTATGGTATATTCAAGACTCTTCTCCAGCACCACAACTCGAAGGCATCCATTCTTCTTCTGTCATCCTTAGTCATTGCCCAACTCTCCGAAGCATAACAAGTAATTGAGAAGACCATGGCCTGGATTAGGTGCACCTTTGTATCTAGACTGACATCATTGTTCTTCAGCACTCTGGAGAGATCCATGACAGCAGATTTTCCCAGTGCAATTCTTCTTTTGATTTCCTGACTGCTGGTGTTAAGAGTGTTGATTGTGGAGCTGAGCAAGTTGTAATTGCTAACAACCTCAGTCTCTTCTCCATCTATTATGATTCTGCCAATTGGCCCAGTGGTGAGAATCTTTGTCTTCTTGATGTTTAGCTTCAATCTGTATTGAAGACTACAGTCCTTGACCTTTTGCAGCAAGTGCTTCAGGTCTTCTTCAGTTTCAGCAAGTGAATGTGTCATCTGCATATTGTAAGTTGTTAATGAGTCTTCCTCCAGTCTTGGTGCCACACTCCTTCTCATAAAGTTCTCCTTCCAGAATGACCTGTTCTGCATACAGATTGAAAAGGTACAGAGACAGGATGCATTCCTTTCTTGATTTTGAACCATGCGGTGTTTCCTTGCTCTGTTCTGAGGACTGCTTCTTTGTCCAAGTACAGGTTTCATATAAGCATGATCAAGTGTTGAGATTACTATTTTCCTCAAGGTTAGCCATAATTTATTGTGATCCACACAGTCAAATGCCTTTGCATAGTCAATGAAACATAGGTAGACATTCTTCTGGTACTTTCTGCTTTCTGCCAAGATCCAGCTGACATTGGCAATAATGTCCCTAGTGCCACGACCTCTTCTAAACCCAGTCTGTATTTCTGGTAGTTCTCTGTCAATGTACTGGTCAAGTCTTTTCTGGGTAATTTTCAGCAGGATTTTGCTAGTGTGTGATATTAGTGATATTATTCTATAATTTATACACTCTGTTAGGTCACCTCTTTTTGGAATGGGAATAAATATGGATCTCTTCCATTCAGTTGGCGAAGTAGTTGTCCTCCAGATTTCTTGGCACAACTTGATGAGCACATGCAGGGCAGCATCTGCTTGCTGAAATATGTCAATTGGTATTCCATCAATTCCTGGGGCTATATTTTTTGCCAAGTCCTTCAGAGAAGCCTGCACGTCCTCTTTCATCACCGTTGCCTATTGCTCAAATGTTATTTCTTGAAATTCTTCTGTGTCAGCCAATTCTTTTTGGTACAATGACTCTGTATACTCCTTCCATCTGGTTTTAATATTTCTTGAATCATTCAATATTCTGCCATAGCATCCTTCTATCATCCCTACTTCTAAGTCTCTGAAAGAGAAAAATCTAGACAATTCCACTTTAAAAAGAGGAAAAAAATATTGTGTCTATCCTGACTGGTAAGTAGACCCAGGGGATCCCCACGAGTATGACTATAGCTTCCATTCCAGTTAGAGCAGAAGGATCTCTATAACTTCAGAAGGGTCGAGTTAGGAAACCGTACGTACCTCTCTAACTTAAATAGGAGTAGTCGTTACTGCTACATGAGCATTAGATAATAATGGTTGAGAGAACCTTGGAGCTATTAAGAAAGAGCCACGTTTCCAATTCACTTCCCAGAAAGACAATTGCTTTGTACTGATTCCACATATCATTTACTGTGAATTCTTCTGACTTTTACATTAGCCATAATTTTGTCTCTGGTCAATAGCTCAGCAATAAAAGTGATTTAAAAAAAATCCTAACAAAAATATTTCACAGCTGTTTTGTACAATTGTAGTAGATGTCATGGTTAGGTTCTGATCTCATGAGGTGAGAGTAAACTGAGGTGTAAGGATGTTATTTGTTGTGGAAGTCAAGGCTGTTTCCTTAGGAGAGATCACACACACCCATCAGTGGGACTTAACCATGGAGTCCAGACAGGGCAGGTCTTCTGCTGTGGCCACACTCCCAGTAACAGGACTTTAAAGGTATTAAAAGGCCTTCTTCATCCTTCCCTGCT